TCAATTTCAAGACTTTTAATGATCACTGACAGACAGAAGGCTAAGTGTAACTGATAATCAACAAAGCCCTATGAGATAGTGGCTGTTTTCTTTTAACGAAATTATTGTTTGATTGCTTTTTAACTGTCATTTTGATTCTTTCTATAGCTTAAATGAGGCTCTCAGCATTTAATGATATCCCCTCACTTAAAATGATACAAAAGTGTCAGCTGCCGACAGTTTACAGATTTGTATTTATCTTTGAGTTGTTTTCTCATTGTTAATGAGTTAGACGCAACTCTTTTCAGTGCCCTTCACCGGAAAGGGAGCACAATGGTTTGACAAATCACACAAAGGGGAAACACATCTTTCACACATCACCAAGAAGGATGATAGTCATCAGCTGTTATTATGTTCAGCTATGGATGCTATCCATCCTTGTTTACCATCACATGGGAGCGCTGGGCAAATGTCAGACAGATGCTTCAAAGTTCATCACAATGGACCATTTTATGACAGGGGGTCGTCATTTATACATGCATACACACTCTCCCTCAAACTCCTACCATCATACACAGCCTTTTATACATGCCCCAAAGATGCATTAGCTGGCTTTTCCTTACTGGCAGCCCTTTGTAAATTAGTCCTTTGTCAGTTGAAACCAGAGGTCCATCAACAAGTGACCTTTTCAAATATCCGGCTTCTGTCAGAATGGAAGTATGCAGCTGCATGGTTTAATTCTGAATATCAGCCAACAACGCTGACTTATTCATCACCTTCATATTTACAGCCTGGACCGTATACAAAGAAAGGCACTTAAAGCCAATCTGTCCAACTCTCCCATCTACGCTCAAACATTTTTCACCTTCTGCGAAAGAGGCGTCCTTCCCACACATTCCATCCCTTTTTCATAATCCCTTCTTCTGTGCTCTCCCCCTCTGTCACTCGCTGTCTTATTCCTCTCCTGTACTTTTGAACTTTTTCCCCCTTAATCCTATTTCCTTAAATGGCTCTGCGTCTCCAGCCAGCTGGAGCGGCTGAATTAAGGCCGATGGGTTCGGTTTCCAGCCAAGTGTAAATGAACAGACAGGAAGACAGGCGGAGAGGAGAGCAGCAGGAAGAGGAGAGAACCATGAGCAGACAAAGAAAGTGAGATAAGAAGGTGTGAGAAGGGATTGATTAAAGTGGTTACAGTGCTGACATCCCTGGACCAGATTGACACCGTCTCCTTCACAACCTTCACACTCCTCTAACTTTTATCCTTATAAAAAAATAATTTTTGGTGATATCTACCACTGCTTTCTTTTATCTTCTTTCTGTTTTAATATTGTAATGTCTCCTTCACCGCTTCAATCTTACATGTCCTTCCAGGCCTTTAATAAGGAGGCTATTTGTCTGGTGCGTGTAACCGAGACTGTCCTTAGCATGGGTGATTTGTTCAGATGTTTACATTTCTCTGACAAGCAAGCTCTTATAGCTGTGGGAATAATGAGCATCCTCTCAAAGGCAAACATGGTGGGACATTTTTAAAGCACCACAAGTCCTCTGATGGAGGAATTCAGTGAAATGGTTTCGGCATTCAGTGTCCGACTTTGATGGTAGAAACCGCGGCTCACATCCTCTCATAACAGTTTGTTTCAACAATGATTTTCATCTTTTAGGTAATACACTCGTTTAATTTAATGCTAAACGTTAAATAATTGGCTGGAATTCTTGCAATCTCTAGCTGCCAGCACCTCTAAATCTCACACAGTTTATGTCTCTCTTTTAATCACTGTTGATGTTTGTGCTATATTGAGCTTAAGAAGTGTTGGTATGTTTATTTTATTTTCCGCTTTAAACAGAGCTAGGCCAGTGGTTTCCCCCGTTTTCCATTCTTTGCTAAGCTAACCATCTGCTGTGTGTAGTTTTATATTCATAGTACCACAATGATAGCGGTATCAATGTTGTCATTTAATTGTGGTATGCTGAAATAGTGTTAGATTTTTTTGAACTATGACCATGGTCTTTCCTTTACCTTAACCAATAACTTAAAGTAACCTTAAAGGAGACCTGATATACTCATGTTCAGGTTTGGCCTGAGGATTTTTCTTTGTATGTATGTATTGTGAACGCAACGATGCGCAAATGTGGGTCTGACTCTGCCTCACAGTCAGGGTGACTGGCTGTCCCAACCCAGTCTCACGGCATTTCGAGTTATAGTCACGACATTTAATCTATTGATTCGTGTTCACCAACACGATTTTCGCCTTTTTTTCGTGTCACACAGAACGATTTTAAAAGCAATGTATTTCTATTGGTAGTATGTTTCGTGCCTGAAGCACGTCTTTTTGTCCGTTCGGGTCTTGGAAGACCGGAAGCTGTGGGGTTCATAAAAACATGTTCTTGCTCAATATCAAGCCACGATTATTGTTTTTATTTTAAATCGTATAATGTCTGACTTTTTTTGTTCGTCTGTGAGGAAAAGTAAAATAGGGGCGTCAGAGCCTCCAGAATAACTGAAATACTGTATTTTTTAAATTTACTTTTTTCCTTTTCCTAAT